GTGAAATAAATAGGACACACATGTGTAAATACCGAATAGTTTCTCTGGTGTGAGAAACTGAAAGTGTAAATAAGGATTAAAATGATTAAAATGAACAAGATAATTTGAAATAGGAAAAGGTCCAAGGGTGTAGGGGTGGTGGGAGGGGAAGGGGAAAGGGAAGAAGGGAAAGGAAAAATTATGAGAAAGAAAAAAAAAAGGAAACAAAATCTATGTAAATAGGGAAGGGTGCAGGGATGAAGGGCACACAGGTAATGGGGAAAAATAAGAACCAAGATACATCATGTACAGGGACAAGCACCCAATGATAAATGTAAACGTATTGAATACCTAAAATGTACCAATAAAGAATTTAAGACAAAAAAAAGAAAAGAAAAGAAAAGAAGAAGCTGAGGCAGGAGGACCACTGCAAGTTCAAGGTTAGCCTGGGCCACACAGCAAGACCGTATCTCCAAAAACTGAAAAAAAGAAAAAAAATCTCACTGGTAACAGGAAAAATAAAGTCTATACATGGTGATTTGCATGAGTAAAATAATAATGGTTTATACTAAATGTGTTGGAACACGCCTGTAATCCCAACACTGGGGAGGCCGAGGCAGGAGGATTTCCACAAGTTTGAGGCCAATCTGGGCTACATAGTGAGTTCAAGGCTGGCAGGGCTACATAGCAAGATCTTTTCTTTCTCTAAACAAAACAAAACAAACAAAAAACTTTAAAAAACTGATGGCTCAAATACTAGCCACATCTCTGCCTATGAAAAGCACAGATGATGCATACTCACCTTCCCAGTCTGTGGCCCTGCCCTGAGAAGGGGTGGAATGCAGCCTTCGTGGACATGCATACTTCATTTTTCTTATCTTCAACTTTAACATCCACCTCTTCCTTATCAAAAATTCCCTGTAATTCTGAAGGCAATTCCCTTGGAAGAGAGAAACAAAGTGATAAACCTCTCAATGTTTTTTCTCTCTTAAAAAACATTTTGTATGCAAAAAGAATTGGATAATATGTGCAAATATAATACATACAAATGAGGCATAAAATATTCTCTGCAGTGAAATAACTAAATGTAATTAAAATAATTTAGGCACATAATATAAACAGTAAAAAATTCAGAAGATTCATTTTTAAGTTCATAAATTCATGAACTGTATGAGTTTTACAGCAGTATCTAAAATAGCACCAAAGTCATTGGAATATTAGATGTCTATATGCTGCTGTATTTAAACAATTTGATCTTTTTTTTATTTTTGGTGTTTTGAGACAGGGTCTCACTACATAGTCCGGGCTGGCCTTGAACTTGGCAGTAACCCTCCTGCCTCAGCCTCCCAAGAGCTGGGATCACAGGCAGGCGCCAGCAGGCTTGGGCTCAATTTGATCATTTTTGTAGATGCCTACTTAGAACCAAAAATGTGCTAGAAAAATCAAGCTCTCATTTTAGTTTTTAAATGAAAATACAGATTTATTTTGGAAACGATAAAGGTTAAACACGAAACATATGAGAATTTTACAAATGTTTTCACATTATCTTCCTAACAAAGACCCTGTCTCAAAATAAAACTAAAAAAGGGGCCAGGTGTGGTGGCATATTCCTATAATTTCAGCACTTGGTAGGCTGAGGCAGGAGGATCGCTTCGAGTTTGGGGCCTGGGCTACATAGTGTTTCCAAAAACCGAAAAAAAAAAAAAAGAGTAGGTCCCTTAGGAAAACTCATCTGAGCTAGATGTGGTGGTAATACCTGTGACCCCACCACCCCAGCACTCTGGAAGGCTGAGACAGGAAGATTCAAATTTGAGCCCAGCCTGGGCAATTCAGCAATTTATCGAGGCCCTGTCTGAAACTAAAAACTGGCTGGGGATATGGCTCAATAACAAGGCCCTTGGGTAAATTCCCAATACCACTATTTTTTTTTTTTGGTACCGGGCATAGAATTTGGGACCCTGCACTTGCAAGGCAGGCGATGGCACCACTGAGCTAAATCCCCGGCCCTATTTTTTAAAGTGAATTTATAAACAAAAGAGTATTTGTATGAATGCGGGGAGTATGTGATCAACATTACAAAGAATCATGGGTGTGGATTTAGCTCAGTGGTGCTGCCTGCCTCGCAAGCGCAAGGTCTTGAGTTTGATCCCCGTACCAAAAAACAAAGCAAAACACAGGATCCTAACACAGGACATTGAAACATGCCTAAAACGTCCTGTCTACAAGGACTGCTCACCCCTTCTTGATGGCGTTCAGAAACTGCTGACTTGCACCATCAGAATAACTTCTAAAATCATCGTTGACTGTGAATCCATTTTTCCATAACTTTATACTTACGTCTACCTGCAAAGTAAGAAAACACTGAATTATGTTAACAAAACGTAACAGTAGTAGATTAAAAGTCCTTTAAAGACAGGCATAATGGTGTATGCCTGTAATTCTGGTACTCTGGGTGGCTGAGGCAAAAGTCTCAAGTGCCAGCTCTGCCTGGTGATCGATGTAGTTCACTGCAAAGTCCCAGGGTTCAATCTCAATGAAACACACACTTGCGCACGTTGAGCACAGAGTTTCTTGTTCTTTGAGCCAGGTGTGTGGCATGCTGTAATCCCAGCACTCGAGAGGCTGAGGCAGGAGTCTCGCTGTGAGTTCAAGGCCAGCCTGGATTACATAGCGAGACTCTGTCTCGAAAAGGCAAAAACCAAAACGGAACAAAACAAGAATCCTTTGAAAATTTCTCCTGTCACTATATATTTTATGTATTCCTAACAGAAAACTTCAAATGTAAAATATTCCCCGGATCCAATTCCCGATATTGCAAAACAAAAGAACAACCCCCCCCCCCCCAAACAACAACTATAAAAACAAGAGAGCACAGGAGAAAAAGTCCCTCAATTCTAATGGTCCTCAGGGTTGGGGTTCCATACTAGGAGTGTGTTCATAATCCCTGGGAGTCAGACGGGCATTTAAAACATTTAATTCTGTAGATCAAGACTTAAAAAAAAAAATTTTGTACCACAATCTGTTTACAAACACATACATGGAACATCAAAAGCTCACCTTCGGAGCGGGGCGTTCTCCTCAATATCTTCCAGGGTTTCCAAGGATGATCTCTGGGAGATGAGGCGACGCCTGCAGAGAGGGGGAAACACCCGAGTTAAATCGGATCAGACGTTTCTGTGAATCTGAAAGGGTCCTCGAAAATAAAGCCCACTAAGGTTAAAAAAAAAATAGGGTCAGACACAAACTGTCTTTAAGGGGCAGCCTGCCCTGTTCCCTCCCTACCTGAGGACGCCAGGTCCACCTGGCCTTGCTGCACACTGGCCACCCTCCGTGGGGACAGGACCTTTCAGGGCTGCAATTCCTCCCACAGACAAAAAAGCCAAGATGCCTCTTGTAATACACAGTATACAAAGGGCCTTGTGTGAAGGTTTTCTAGACTATTAGGCAAAACTGAAGTTTTTAAATATCAGGGATTGGAACCAGGTAACTGATAAATTTTTAAACCACATTAAATAAAACCTCAAAATTGTAAGAATGAAATTAAATTAGTCTTTGCAAGGCCATTATCTCAAAAGCAACAAAGAAGAAATTTAGAAGAACTTCTCAGACCAGTAAGAATGAATATTCAGCATTAGAATGCAAAACAATAACTTTTCTGGCTGCTAAAGAATTCCATACCACCTGCTAAAACCCCTCAATCTAGTTTCTTTGCCAGGCTGAAATAAGAAGAGGTCACAGATAACTAAGAATATCTGGTACAGGAGCAGGGCTGGGCGGCAGTAAGTTTAGATAAATCCATTTGAACAAGGACCATGCATTTCATAGCAAATGATGTGGCAGAGGGTGGTGGATGGAAAGTTTCACCAGGTCTTTACCTTAAATAAAAACTGAAAATAAGATAAAAGCCGATTTTCTATTATATTTAGCAAAATTTAGGTTAAAAGCAGGCAACTCAACTATGTGTTAGATTGTTCTAAAAAACAAAGAATGAAACAACTTTTTTCAGGGGGTCTTTGGTGTGTACTTTTTTGGAACAATTACACTGAACCTTTTCTTACTTATTGTAAGACAATCAGATCATTTTTGCAAACTATTCAAGGACTTCATCAATTTTCTAAGAGCCTTTCTTGATCTTTCGACATTCAAGTTCTTTTTTAATATTCCTCACTCATCCTCCTCCTGACTGTTAACTGATCTTTTCTCAGATGCTCATTCACCAATGTGTGCACCAAGCATCCACCAACATCATCGCCACTGTTGCAGGACAGCCTGGGCCTCCTGCCAGACTGCAGCTTTACTCTGTGATTGACCAACACTGAATTTCCATTTGCTCGGGGCCACCGGGTCTCCAGGAGTCGGCCAGAGCTGTGGGGAAGGCATGGATCTTACCAAGGAATGATGCAGAGGGGACTGACTTTAAAGGCAGCCAACTCATTAGTAAATGGGACATCATAGGCAGCACTGTAACACCAGGGGCTCGGCTGGCCAAGTGCCCTGTGACAGTGGCCTGCAGGCGCTGTGGTTCTGAACAACCAGCCGAGGTGCAGCCCCTCTGAAATCTCAGTTAATCTCGAAGAGAGCAGGCAAGTAAGCCCTAGCCTATCCAGGTGCCAGGCTGCCTGGTTCGGCGCCCAGGCTGGGACTGGCCTCTGTGGCTCTGCAACAGGTGTTCCGTGTGCCATACACAGAGCTGTGCAACTGCACAAAAGGGCATGCCGAGATGCTATGGCTCTGAGGCCTTAGCAAGCTCCTTGATTCTCGAGTCTCAATTTCTCTGTCTACAAAATGGGAAAACAAGAGTAGTTACAAGTCAGTTAGGTGCAAAGTCCTTGCCACACAGTGATTCTTTTTTTTTGGTACCGGAAATTGAACTCGGGACCTTGTGCTTGTGAGGCAGGCACTGGAACCACTGAGCTAAATCCCCGGCCCCCACACAGTGATTCTTAATGAATGGGAACCGCTCACTGCTCCCTTTGGGGTGGTACTGGGACCTGCACCCTGGTTCAGCTATGAGGACCAGGCTGACTGTCCTGGCTCTCACTTTCCTTCGGTCCCAGCCCCAGCAGGGTCACCTCAAAATGCCTTGTGCCTGAGACCTGAGCTCCTTCCACACCTGTATCTGCTTTACCCAGACATCTATGCTCGTCTGTGACAGTGCACTCAGGGAGGCACAAGTCACGCTTGCTGGTGCACTGGCCGCCCCATCCTCCCTTCACTATTACTGCGTCTCCCGCCATGAAAAAGCAGCCAAGTGATGATATTTACCACCTGTCTCTCTGCCAAGCGGTCACAATTTCTACCCTGATAAAGTGACGTGTTAGGGACGACTGCACAGCTTGAGGCCAGAGGTTGCTACTGGGGCAGCAGAGATGCACCCAGGCCCCGGGAAAGCCCGGCAGGCTCATCCTTTCCACACCACCGCTCAGCAGTGGGATGGCCGGCCTGGCCTGCTGGGACACAGCGCTGACCGGGCTTCACCCCATCCTCATGGGACTCATGCTTAAGCGGAGTCCAAGGGACCTCCAAGCTCCACCTCAAGCCCCACCGCCCTGGGGAGCCACCCTCTGTGGAGAAACTCCAGCTGGATCCCACAGGAGCACAGGAGGCCCTGCCCAGCACCCTCACCCCCACCCCAGCTGGGCCATGTTCTGAGCAGGTGTCGCCCCTAGAGAATCAGGCCATTTCACAAACGCACAAAACTTGACGACACCACTATCAAAAAGCTCCATGCAGCTCTTCCCACACTAGAGAAGAAAAGTGCCTTTTGGGAAAATCGCCAAATTAGGATAAATGTTTTTCTATACAGTTAGAAGAACTTTTTAAAACTTTTTTTTAAAAAGAGAGCACACTGGATGTCTTCCTCCTGAGATGCACAAATGCAGACTCACACATTCCTACTTGTAAACTGAACGGTCCCTCTCTTCCCGAAATGTATATACTAAACGCCTACATCCTGGGAAGTGATTAGGTCAAGAGTGTGGAGCCCCCAAGAAGGCATCAGTGACCTTATAAAAAGGACTTCCCAGCACTCCCAGCCCCCTTCTCCTCCCTCTGAGGACACAAGAAGTCAGAAGTCTGTAACCTGGAAGAGGCCCCTGCTAGCCCAAGACTACCCTGGCACTGTTCCTTCAGAACTGTAAGAAAATAAATTTCAGTAGCTTAGGAGCCAGCTAGGCTATATTTTTTGAGATGGAGCTACAGCGCTCAGAAAGGTCCACTGGTCATAAAGATGCCACCAGGAGCACCGAGACAAGCAGATGTGGGGCCAGCCCTTCCCACCTAAGCTAAGGACCCATTCACAGGTACCAGGGTGCACCCTGCGAACTGGGCACGGTGACTCATGGAGCTTACCTTACCCCTTAGCCCCTGGCTAATCCTTCCAAGGTATTCGGTGACACTATCTTCCACCTTCTATCCTCAGGAAGCCTGTGGCGGGCAGAGAGGCTTGGCCAGGTGGCCAATCTTAACCAGAACTTTCACCCTGCAATTTGCCTCCTGGCCTAAGCTCACTGCTAGGCCACCTCTGTATCATAGGGCACACTTAACAAGCAGAGGTCTTGCAGATTTTAATGACTGATAAAGAATGCGTAGCACCACCTTATTAACCACGAAGACTGGCAGGCCTCGAAGCAAAAGCATTACGTGCTGACATCATCCAATGGAAGTGCCCATGTCTGATCTCCAGATCCAGCCTATACTTGGGCTCCAACAGCTACAAGTCAGGACCTTCATGCTGGCCACACGAGGAGGCCAGTGTGGTTCACACTCAGTGCACACGTGTCAGTCAGCCTCCCTCCCGAAAGCAACAGACTTGCTTTATAACAATGTGCTTTGAATGTGTGGCTCTGTCTGAGCAAGAAGTCTTGACTCTGTACATAACTGGATATATGGACGTGAACCAAATTAACCCATACATACTTAAGGGCTAACAGCTCATGGGGTGGGGGGAAGCACCTGCCTGCCTGCCTGCCTTCCCTCATTCCTTGCTTCCAAGTACACAGGGCCAGCATTTCTAAAGTGCCCTCTACCCACAAAGGGTAAATGGCCCCACATCTGGGGAGAAAGGCCAGCATTCACAGCAGCTGCTTCCTAGCGAACACTGTCCACGTCCTGGTGGGCAGCAGCTCTGAGCACACCAGGGAACAAGGGCCAAAGTGGGGACCATGTGTGGACGGGGCACTTAGTGGGCCCTTTTGCAAGGTAACTCATCTCTCCTTAGCCTGGTGTGTGGAGCACCTCGCAGAGTGTTGGCTGGGAAGAGAAGGGGCTTGGGGCTGACCCTGCTGCCCCAGGGCCATCCCGAGGTCCAGTGGAGAAGGTTGATCACAGCTCAGGGACAAGGTGAGGCAGTGGGGACGCAAGGGAGCGTTAGGCTGGGCCTGTGACGTGGTGAAGGCGGCCCTGGGCTGGGTCTGATTCCTCAGTGTAGAATGAGGAAGTTAGGTCCGACCAGTGATCTGAAGCCTGGCTGCCCATCAGCTTACCGGGGACAGAAGTGACCCTAGCCAGCCCCCTGGAAACACCTTGTCCCCAGCATCCAGCAAGGAGGATCTTACAAGAGTTGAGGACCAAAGGAAAGGGAACTCGCTGTCTATGGTAGAGAATTGAGACTAGGGAATGATCAGGTATAAGCAGATGGAGGAAGTCTAGAATATTCGCCGGCTATGTAAAGAATCAGGTGATGAAAGACCTAGCTCTGTTTTCTCTGGGAGCAAAACATCAGTTTGGAGAGCAGGAAGGGACCTTGGGGAACACCAGGCCCAGCCATCTTTCAGTCCACAAAAAGGCCGTTTCCCAGCCATGAGTGGGGCCACCAGAGGGCATGGCCGTCTCTCGAAGGTGTGGAAAGTGGGGGTGTCAGAGACCTCGAGCACACAGGTGACGGACAAGCTGAGGTCATGATGACTTCACATCTGTTCAATCAGTTGTTATGACGACAAAAACCCACAGTAAAAATAAATTTTGAGTGTAGTCCTGAGACACCCGCAAACTTGTAATTTACGGCTTCATTCTTTGCGTCTGCTGCCCACTGCCCAACCTCCTGCCCCCGTGAGGTGGAAGCAGGTGAGACAGTGGCTTGCGCAGGGCAGGACCATAGCCGCCCCACGCCCTGGGCTTCCTAGGGAGGG